AAGATATATTTTACTAAATTATTTAGTGTTGTTAACATTTTCAGAGCCTTGGTTTTCCTTTTGTTTTTCTCTTTTGTGAAATAGTCATATGAATGCTTACCTTAAGGGATTACAGTGATGGTCAAAAAAATAGGAATAAAAAAATGAGTGCTATTGCTGTTCTTATTTGGTGTGTCATTATTGTTATACATATTGTTGATCTTTAACTTCTCTGCTTATAAAATGGTACATGTGAAAGAACCTACCTTCGGCACATAACCAACTATAATTAGCTTTTAGGGAGAGTTTGAAATTTTTTAATATTTCGGTAGATGTTTAAATAGATCTCCAGTTTATCCTTCTGATCCTTGTTGATGATGGAAATCAAAGTAGGTATAGTGACATTATTTTCATTTTCTTTTAAGAGAACAGCTCACACTACTTTGGTGGACACACTGTAGTTTTATGCCAAACCAGTCCTTTTTACTAGTAATATTTTAATTAGCAATTGAAAAACATCTCCTAAATGTGTTTATTTAGATATTAAGTAATAGCATAGATATTAAGTAATAACTATGTCACTTATTATATGAATAGTTATTGTAACATTTAAATATATACTGTGTATTATATATTTAAACTGTAAAACAATAGAATCAATTAGTCATTAGTGTACTTTCTGCTTGGAAGCTTTTTCCATGTACTTTTTTAGCATAGTAGGTTCAGCTGTCCTTTAAGACATGCAGTTATACACTGTGAGGGATGAAGGATAGTTAAGTGGTTCCCAAGAACATATCAGGTACTTTGAGCTAAAAAGAGAATGATTTCATGTCAAACAGGACAAACTCCATTGCTTCACAAATCCACTTGGTTTTGACACAGAGAAAATGAGTTTTTAATATCTGAAAGTTAGATTGTAGAGCCTCATCCATGACTCATTCATCTATTATAAATTTAAACTTTCTATATTACAGACGTGAAGACCCTCTTTCTGTAAAGGACCACTGAATCCAAGGGTTAAATAACAGCAACCACAGCCGCTTTCAAAAAGGCCAAATTAAGGGATTTGAGGGCAAGAGAAATAGAAAATGTTACTATCATTCTGCTTTTACAAAGTACGAGATTGTTTTTCAGTTTATATCAGGGTAGATAAGATAGGCTATGAAACAGTGGTATGGAAGAGATCAAAAGAAAAAAAACTACTGTCTTTTTTTTCTGTGTTTTGTATTTCTATTTTCCTGTTCAATTGTTGGTCAACTATGTTCACCCTCACCCAAGCTATCCCACTGGGACAAGATGAGGAAAATGGATATAAGATGGGTGGTAAAGATGGTATAGCAGAGGTAGAAAAACATTTATAAACTGGTTCTGGGGAGTTCAGAGGGGGTGTCGGTACTTCTATACAGATTTCCAAAGTCCTTTGGATTGTGCTAATAAGTTATTGCTGTTTTTTATCCATACTCATTGAAATTCTGCTTTTCTCCTTAGCAGTTAATCATTATTCCTAACCTCTGTTCTTTCTGACTTTATGCTACTTTTAACTCTAAGGAAGATTATTCTTATATATACAACATTATCACTTATTAGAGTACTTATTTACCATGGGCCAGATGGCTTCATCAGCCATAGGCACTCAAGTCCTTGAGTTAGTCTTTGAGATACGAAATCTCATTCATGGCTCCCACTCAGGTTCTTGGATCAATCTCTTTGTGGTATGGAATCTTCTTATTAATGGCTTTGAACTTTTCTGTTCTTCTTTAGAGAAAGTCCTTTCTATTTATGAAAATAGAGGAAAGCCCAACAGATTTTCTTAAATACAATCTAGTGATGATATCTTCTGGTATTGCTAAAACATAAATCTTTGAGACTGGAGACCTGTCTTCCATAATACTTATCTTCCATAATACTTTGCACAAGAGTAGAGGCTTAATATATGTTAATACAAGTAAGAGTATTATTTGCATCATTTAGAGTCCTCTGTGTATTGGGAAAGGATAAGAGGAATAATTATGTTTGATGACTAAGAACAACATAGATTTTCAAAGTGAGATCATTAAAAATTTTCTTAAAGACACCTTGTGGGAGAAAATGGAAAAATGACTTTAAAACATTAGAAAGTACTATTTGAAGGTAAAGCATGTCTCCCCTTATTCATTTTTGTTCCTTAATATATTGTGCTACTTTATTTGTTTGTTTTTTTTTTCTTCTCCCTCTTTCCCCCAGCCCCTTCTCCACAGCTGCTTTTTTTAAATACTTGAGTTATTAGGTTTCATCAGGAGTGCCTCATTTGAATCTCTGTCTCTATGTATCATATTCTCTTTCTCTGAGAAGCTTACAGGCCTATTACATTACTTTCATTTATTTAAAGCCAGGATAACTGGCTTTTGCCTCAAGGTATCATAGAGTTCTTATGTGTCTAACATCCCAAGCCTAGTTAGTTCCCCATATGTCATGAAACAGACTTTGATAAGCTGTTCCACATCCTAGTGATCAAATATCTTTAATGTTATAAAGAAAAAGCACTGTTCAATTGTGACCTTGCACAAGTCAACCTCATTCAACTGCCTTTCTTTATCTGCAAAATGGAGAGAATTAATGTATATCCTTGAACCTAATATGGTTTGTTGTTAGTAAAGATTAAACCAAGCTTTGTAAAAAACTACAAGACCTCTACAACTTTAAGATGTTCTGGGGATGATATTTCTAAAGTACCACGTCGGAAAGATTGCATTAAAATAAAATATTCACACTCGGTGAAGCAGCAAGGGGTATCTTTTCAGTCTCATTTCTTTATCTGTAGTAGTCTCTTTATCCTCTGTCTGTAGAAATTCAATCCACCTCTAAAAGCCTAGGGCAAATGTCACCACCTTCGTAAATTTTTTCTTTATGTCCTAAATTAAAACTGATGTCACTCTCCTGGAATTCAGTAACTTGGCCATTTTTTTCCACCATTGTTTAAAGTCTTTACTGAATTTATTAGTGTTGCCTTTGTTTCACATTTTGGTTTCTTGGCTTCCAGGCATATGGGATTTTAGTTCCCTGACCAGGGATCGAACCCATACCCTCTGTATTTGAAGGCAGAGTCTTAACCACTGGACCATCAGGGAAGTCCCATTTTGGCAGCTTTTTAATGGATGTAGCAGTTCCCTTATTTTCTCATTCTTGGCCACCCACCCCCTATACCTGAGAGAACCATCTAGATATTATACAACAATGATTAGACTAGGGCTGTGGTCGCTCCAGTCTTAATGTGTCTGAGATCACATGAGGGATCCTGATCTCACTCACTCTTGGAAGTTGGGAGTCAGAACTTCTGCTTGAACCACACTTTTCTTCCTTTAGTCTCTTGCATTTGACATGCCCCCTTCCACAGTAGGTCTTCTGCGCATGATGCTGCCTTCGCCAAGAGTTAGTGCTTCTTCCTCTGTGCTTATGATGCTTGTCCTTCAGATGTGAGCTTTATCACTAATTCATAGTAAGTCCTTTCCTTGGTCAACTTTCCCACATTGTATGTTCTCATAGCACTGGCTACACCATCACAGCACTTGTCACAAGTGAAGCCTTGCCATTTATCTGTATAATCATTTAAATAATGACTCACTGAATTGACAGCTCCACAAGGGTAGACACTACGTATGTTGCTGTTCTTTCTTATATTCCTATTGCCTATATAAATGCCTACAGTTTCTGGAACATAGTTGTCACCTAAAATATTTGAATATATAGATACATAGTAGTCTACAAACAAGCTTTGACACAGACGTTCTAGACCCTTGCATTCAATCCTTGATTTATAATTGACTTGTAAATTGTCTCTTAACCTTTCTTTGTTTTGGTGTCTAAAACTGAAACCTGTGTTGCCTTCCTCATTGGGTATTGTGGACATCAAAAGAAAAATGTGAAGATATATTGAAAAGTATAAAGTGCTATTTGAATATAAAGTTACATTAAATAGCTAGTAATGTGAGAGATACTGTCATGGATATAGAATATAGTACATGGACCTTGTTAATGTTATTTGTTCTGTAACATAATAGTTGTGTTTTGAGATGGAGTTTAATCTTATATATTGGGCTTCTTAGAAATTCTCTCTTCACTATCCATTGTTTAGGGTAGTGAGTATCATTTATTTCCTCTTGTGAAAAGCATATGACCCAAAATTGCCTAACATTAGCCTTCAAATTCACTTTTTTTTAATGGTCCAGCAAGCCCTATTATGTTAGTACAAACCGCATCTTTCACAAATGGCTTATCTCTGTATTTATAATTACTTAATGCTGTGTGCTATGAGGCATAACAGGATTGTATATGTTACTTTAACTCTGGATGAAATGGAATAGGAAAACATAAGTTAAATAAATTGAATTGATACCCTATTATATTTTTGGAACAGGACAAGATAGCCTCTGTTTTTTAAACAAACTCTCTGTTTGGTTATTCCATAATTTTCTTCAAATATATTTATGTTGCTTCATCTCTGTTTTCTGTTCCCAATTCCTCCCCCTTCACCCTTTTAAATTTCTCTAATTTTTCTTCTTTTTTACTTCAACAGTCTGGGTTGCAGGGGGAAAAAAAACCTGGCTGTTAATCAAGAACATGATCTCATTGCTTTCAATGGCTTAGAAAAGAAACATTTTAAAGCAGTTGAAAGATTTCACTTTGGAAAGTAGGTACTGCATAACTAAGTGTGTTAGTTCCCAGCAGAGCCTTGAGTAATCTCTTTCCAGCCATCCTCATATTTTTTTTCTCTTCTACTTCCTGTTCAGTGAGCAAGTGCCTAAGTTAATAGAAAAAAAAAAAAAAAAATCCGTAAGGCTTCTCTTTAGGAGTTCTTGCCAGAGCATTGTTTTCTGTTCCTTCACTGATCCACATGTATTTTTATCCTTCTGTGTTGTGATTGTTTCCCAGCTTCATCACTTACATAGAGATGGAGTTAGTTTTTAGTTCCCCTCCTTACTCACACAAGCCCCCAGCCCTCCTCAGAGTTCCCTTAAGTATATCTGGGAGCCCTTGAGTGGAACATGACATGTGTTCAAGAAGTGAATATTGTTGTCCTACAGCCTTCTTGGGAAGTCCATCCCTTTCAACCCACCCTAATGTGGAACCTCATCACTGCCCTGGGTTGGGTCCTCGTGAGGGACAGCAGCCGTGCCAGGAATGCTGTCTCCGGTGCTGTCAGAGCAGTGGTCTTCAGGTACTCAGAGGAGTGAGGCTGAACTGGAGCCATCTTCCCCACCCCCAGCTCTGCACCAGACTTTGTCTCCAGGTCCCAGTGTAGCAGAGCTTGTGCTTACAGCTTCACAGTTTCTGCTGAAAAGGTGTCTTGTCTTTTGAATCTACCCTTTTACTCTTTCTGGGCTCAAAACCAGTTCAGAGAGCCAGATTAAAAAAAGACACCTTGCCATTTCTTCCATTGGCTTTATTTCATCTCACTTTCCTTCTCTCTTTCTTCTCCGCCCTCAGCCTCCTCTGGGTTCCCACTGACATTTCCATTCATGAATTAAAAGGCAAAATGCCATCTATAGAGAGAGGTCCCTGGCTCACTAGTTCTGATAGTTGCTGAGTTAATAATCATACTTGGAATCAGCTCAGCCAACCTGTTACATTCTTAAAAACTGGTTTTTTGAATAGATATCCACATACCTGCTACAAAATTCATAAAATAGAAAAATATCATGAAAACTCTTCTTAGCACCTCCATCTTTCAGTTATCAAGTTCCTATCCTGTAGGGAATCAGTGTTTCCAGTTTCCTCTGTATCCTTCCAGAAATCCTTCATGCAGGTATAAACAAATGTATATATATATATTCTTTTCTACTTTACTCTTCCTTTTCTCCCTCCTCCTCCTCCTTCACAAATGACATATATGCTTTGCTCTTCCTTGTTCTTTTCGCTTGGAGGCTGTTTCATGTTTGCATATAAGGAATTTCTTAGGGCTGCATTGTGTGATTATACCATAATTTATCTGTTCCCCTATTGGTGTACATTTAGGTTGTTTCTGATCTTTTCCTATTACAAATAATGCTGTAAAAATTAGCACTGAACATAATTTAGTTTGCTTGCTCATGTATGAGTATGTCTGTAATGTAGATTCCCTAGAACTGAAAATCGCAAGGTTAATGGTTATACTTTTTGGAACCTGTGACATTTTCAGTTATTGATTTCTGAGGAGGTTGTTCTGTTTCTCATTTCTGACTTATATTCTGGAATCCGCCTTCTAGCTTTATCACCTATTTGTTGATTGCTCAGGCAGTGTGCAGGCAACATTATTAAGTGGTCCAGGTGTAAAGAAAAAAAATAGATTTAGTTTTTGTTTTCAGACTTTTCATAGAGATATAAGAATAAATAATTATTTTTTCTATCATGACACAAACTGCAGTATGAGCTGGGTCATAAACAACAGCTGCTATTTAGTGTCTAGAGGTGACCAGTCCAGTGGTGACTGGGAGGGTATGTGTCTGATATAAGAAGGGGAGATCAGTTCCAACCAATTACTGGCATAGGAGGGATTACGAACTCAAGGGTGTCTTGGTGGGTAATAGATGCAGTAACATTTTTTTCTATAAAAGTAAAAACTTGCATATTTATATTCAGTCTCCTGACTTTTAAATACCACAGAGACCAAATAAACATGCATCCACGGAATGGATCCATCACCCTACGCCTCCAGTTTATGCCCCCAGCTGTTGTGGATATAAGGCACCTTCTTGGTCTGTTTCTCTAACTCTGACCTCCACGTATTTTAGTTCCTCACCTGCTGTCAGCCAGGTTCTGTCTCTAGCATTCATTGATTCCTAAATAATTCAGTTCCGCGTATCATCATTATCTGTGTTCTTAAATCTTTATTTAGAATTTCCTTCACTCTTGATGTTTTCCAGTCATATCATACAGAATCAAGATATTTAAATATCACATTTCTATTCATTTAGTCACAATATCTTATGACTCGCAACAAGTTTTTTCTATTTTAGAAGTGTAGGCTTTCAGAATTTTAGCTGCCGGAAGCAGAACATAATGATATTTATTATGTTCTCTTTATGATTTCTACCAAGATTCTTTTTAGATTTTGGTCATTATTTGAAGGGTCAGAGGAAACATGATCATAGATATGACTAAGTATTAAAGCTTATTAGCAGGAAAGCTTTTTCTCTCTGAAGTCAGTCATGACTTTCTTTGGATGTGGTTTATCTATGAGATACTAAAAGAGTATCTAAGAGGTACTGAGAGAGCCAAAAAAGTCTCCAGACTTTGCATCATGATTCCCATCAGATCCTAAACTTAGTTGGTAGATAATTACTGTTTCTTTATTCCATTTTTCAGAATTCCCACTAGACAGAGGTATACAGTTGTCAGCATCACATCTTCCTTCCCTTCTGTCAGACTTTCTCCCACCTTGCCCCCAACACATATTCACTATTCCTTTAAGATGTTGAGAAACTACTGACTTTGATGCCTTTTCTCAAATAAAGTCATTTATTCGTAATTAGAGTAATTAAAAGGTTAGGGGTGTGTGTGCACATGCGTGTACGCGTGCTTAGTCGTGTCTGACTCTTTGTGACCCCATAGACTGTAGCCCGCCAGGCTCCTTTGTCCATGGGATTCTCCAGGCAAGAATACTGGAGTGGTCTGCCATTTCCTCCTCCAGGGATCTTCCCAGCCCAGGGATCAAACTCACATCTGCATTGGCAGGCAGATTCTTTACCACTAGCACCACCTTAGAGGCACTGTTTAAAAAAAAAAAAAAAAAAACTGAATTGTGGGATAAAACTTGGGATAGGGAGTCCTTGCAGTTACTTGGGGAAAACAAGCCTTGTCCAAGCAGTTCTTGGCAGAGAGCTGTCTGCCAAATCGGGATTTCTTTGTACTCATGAAACTACTTTCTCATCATAGTTTAATTTTCCAAGTAAATTCCCATATTAGAAAGCAAGTACTCTCAATACCAGCCTTTGCATTGCTTTTCTGCTATTCATATTAAATCATTTTTCCCCTCAGATGCAATAACCTTTTTGAAAGATTGCTGCTTCAGACTTAGAAAGGAACACGGAGGCTAACATTTCTGGGTGCCTCCATAAGGAACCTTTTTTATTGTATCCTGTTGAGTCCCCACAGTGACTCTTTGAAGTAAATAACATGGTCCACAGTTTGCCAAGGAGGAAACCAGGGATTAACAGGATAAGACATTTGTACAAGGTCAAACTGCTAACAAGGGGTATAACCTGGGATTTCAAACACAAAGCAGTCATGGTCCAAATCTCTTACTCTGTGCTCTTTTGTCCTACTCCCAGTTGTGGTTTTTTTTTTTTTTTTTTGCACCTTAGAAAGATTAACTTAACTATGTGTAACAAGATTGAGGCAGAGAAGGCAGTTGGAAACCATGCCATTAATACAGCAGAAAGAGGAAGTCTTAAGGAAGATACAGAAGGTCACAGGTAAAACAACCTACTAAGGAGGTTAATTAACATTAATTTGGTTTAGCCTGTACTTGTATTTTATTTTAATTCTCCTTGTAAAGAGTGGATTTTTCTAGCTATAAACTTGAGTTTAAAATGGCAGCCTATACTAGCCATCTTAATGCCAAACGTGTGGCCAGCCCCAAACAAGTTCTTATCACTTCACTCTATGTTTCTCTCAGTTGCAATTCCCTAGCCTATTTATTTCATTCTGTTTTGTGGGGTTCTGTGTATTTTGAAGAATAATAAATCCTTTCAGAAACAACAACAAAATAAAAAGGCAGCCTATCAATTGTATTAATATCTTGATGTTATCTAACACGGTATCTGGGAATATGGCAAAAAGTATAACCATAGAATTTTAAGACTGAATCATTTCCTACCTTTCATAGAGATTATCTTTAATATGAATGAGCTTGGTAAGTATTTTAAGATCTTTATTTATATATTAACTCATATGAAAAGACGTAATAAGGAGCATGGGATACAGAGTCAGCACATTTTTTGATGCTGGTTAGACATAAAAGAATTTAAAACAGATCCGAGTCTGGAAATTATTCTAAAGATTGAAGAAGTCTTACCACCTATAATTAGATATAGATCTATAGTATAGAGGGTGCTTTTTGAAAACTGATTGTATTTGGAAGGATACAGTAAGTAATTTACAATATTAATACTGTCTATTTCCATGGTACATTATACATTATGCTTCTCCATATAGTTGGAGAACTCCTGAACTTTACATTAGGTATCTGAGGAAAATAATTCAGAATAAAGGATTTGAAATATATGAAGACTTTAGCAGATAAAACTGAGATAAGCCATTATGAATCTGGAGTGGAATACATGATCATGCTGGGATGACCAGATCACGGGGAACATGGAAAAAAAAAGAAGTAGAGAAAATAGGATGGTTATCTGAAGCCTGAGGTTTTTTTATTTTTATTTTATGTAGGAGCATAATTGGTTCCCAGTGTTATGTTTCAGGTATACAGCAAAGTGACTCAGTTATACATACACATGTATCTGTTCTTTTTCAAATTCTTTTCCCACATAGGTTATTATAGAATACTGAGCTGTGTTTCCTGTGTTATACAGTAGGTCATTGTTGATTATGTGTTATAAATATAGCAGATTATACCTGTCAATCCCAAACTCCCTAACTATCCCTCCTCCCTACCCTTCTTCCCTGGTAACCAGAAGTTCATTCATTCTGTGAATTTGTTTCTAATTTGTAAGTAAGTTCATTGGTATCATTTTTTTAGATTCTGCATGTAAATATCATATGATATTTGTCTTAGTCTGACTTCACTTAGTATGATGATGTCTAAGACCATTCATTTGCTGCAAATGGCAGTATTTTATTCTTTTTCATGGCTGAGTAATGTTCCATTGAATATGTATAACACACCTTCTTTATCCTTTGATCTGTTGATGGATGTTTTAGGTTGTTTCCATGGTTTTGGTTATTGTAAACAATGCTGCAGCAAACACTGGGCTACATGTATCTTTTCGAATCATGTTTTTCCTCCAGATGTATGCCCAGGAATGGGATTGCTAGATCATTTGGTTGATGATTTGGTTGCTCTATTTGTAGTTTCTTATGGAACCTCCATACTGTTCATAGTAGCTGTACCAGTTTACATCCCCACCAACAGTATAGGAGGGTTCCCCATTCTTCACACCCTCTCGAGCATTTATTGTTTGTTGATTTTTTTGATGATGGCCATTCTTACTGGTATGAGGTGATAACCTCATTATAGTTTTGACTTGCGTTTCTTTAATAATTAATGATGTGAAGCATTTTTTCATGTGCCTGTTGACTGTCTTTATGTCTTTGAAGAATTAGCTCTTTAGGCCTTTTGCCTTCTTTTTGATTGGATTGTTTAGGGTTTTGTGTTTTGTGTTTTTTTTTTGGATATTGAGCCACATTAGCTGTTTGTAAATTTTAAAGACTAATCCCTCGTCAGTCACATCGTTATCAAATATTTTCTTCCATCCTGTGGGTTGTCTTCATTTTTTAAAAATGATTTCCTTTGCTTTCCAAGCCCCAGGTTTTCAAAGGCAGAAGTATGAGAAAGTTGCGTGCTCCCCAGCTCAGGTGCAGAGCCTCTCCTCATGACTTGAGGTATGTTTTTGTCTGTTCAATCAGACGATACAAAATGTGAGGGCCTAACAATGGTAGACTGTGGAAAAATGTAAAAAATAAAAGAAACTTGTCCTTGGGATGCTTAAGTATTATAAGTAGTGAATAAAGTATAGATAGGCTCCCTGAAATTTGTTTGACCACAGCTTTAACTTGGAAACAATCTGATTGACCATCTTTCTATTTTGAATTATATATTAGCATACCTCCTGAGGTATGGGAGATAAAGCATGTCTCCAGTTCTCTGCAGTGGGAAACATGAATTCCCTTATCCTCAGCCTCCTTCATCCCCTTTTCAGCACTCACCTCCTAGTAAATTGACAAGGGTATGCTTCAAAGCTAGTCATTTATAAAAGTAGTTGATAATGCTCTCAGAAGTATAATTCAATGGATGCCTGGAATGTCCAAAAATAACGTCTCTCTGACAACCTGTTGATGTTAGAAATTCTACCATTAGCAATTCATGATAAGTTTCCTATTAAGTTGAGTCATCCCTAGGCTATTGATTTAACCCCAATCTAGCTAAAGTAGTATTTCATATTTTTAACAGAAATTTTCAGTTACAGATTCCTCTTTGATCTTGTCCTTCCAGTAACCCCCAGTTTTCATGTTCTACTATGTTATCCTTTGCCCATGCAACTCTGGCCACACTGTCCTTGGTGCTGTTCTTTGAACATGGTAGACAATTTCTGTGTCAAGGTCTTGACCTTAAATGTCCTTTCTCCTATATCTACTTGGCTTTCTTCCTGTTTCAAAATTATAATCCTGAATTCGTTCCCATCTTTTATTTTTCTCTATTTATCATGATCTGAATAGTGTATGATTGACTCTTTTTTAAAATTTGTCTTTCACCACAGAAATGTAAGGTTTTATGTGAACACAGTTTTATTTTGTTCACTGCTGTACTTTTCAGTGCCTTTTATATACTAGGTGCTCAGTAAGTGTTTGTTAAAGGCATAAATGAATGAATGCAAAACCCTGCAGGATTGAGGCATAAAAGAAGTTCCTCTGGGGAAAGTGTATAGCAAACACTTCTTAAGATAGTATTTCCCAAAATATGTTAAATTTGACTTCTCCCTCTATAAGAAATACTTGCCTAAGTCCAGCTATGGGACTACTTCTGTTTGCACACTTGTCATAATTCTGAATTTTTAACAAAGCTTTTAAATGACATGCATTTAAATAGACCCTGAGTTTCTGAAAGACTGATGGGAATATTTGCTTCTATTTGTTGGTAAATTTGTGTAAGCAGTATTCTGGACATCAGGGTTTCTGGCTCCAATTATCAGAATTTTTTTTTTTTTCCCTCTGTAAGCTGAGGTATTTAGGAAACATTGTTAACATCAATTCCAGTTTAATATAAGATTTTATGAGTCACTTTATTCTAGCTTAATGAAGTATCTTACTTCAATTCTATTGTTATTTAATTTATTAAACCTTGGAAAACTGCTGAGATAGGGGAAATGCAAAATGGTAAGGAAGATATTGGATCATCCAGAAATGCAGAATCACAAGTTACTGTTCTGGAAATTATCAGTGTGTTAATATAATCTTCCTGCAAAAGAGAATAGAGGCTTCAAAGGCACATGAATGTTTGAGCAATAGATGGGAGCATCTGGATTGGTTCTGTGAGTAAATTGTTATATTTTAACATCAAGGTATTCTAGGTGTATGTCAATAGGAATGTTTTTTGTATATTTTTGTTTTAGTCCAGGGGATATTTGAATGGTAGTCACACAGACTTTAAAATGTATTTATAATGATGACAGGAGACTCTTGCCATTCAAATTGCTAAGTTTTCCTGTTGTAGTGAACTCTGGAGAGCTGTCATGGCCTAGACAATGTGGAGCTGTTAGACGGCTGAGTTCTCCGGCCAGTATCGTTAGCTCCCTAAGGGACGTCAACAGCCCTAACAGAGTTTGGCTCCAAGGATACTGTGAATGTAGATTGTAAACCAATGACAGAATATCTCTTTGGGAACATTAATATTACTTACCCTGCCATCAAGAGCAAAGCTCTATTTTTGTATCTTTCGCATTTGCTTATCATTTGGCCTATAGGACATATTCAGTATTTAATAAATGCTTATCCGTTTTCTTGGAAAATATTCCAACTGCATTAATTTTTATATTAGTCACATCTTTTTGGTGTTAATTTCAAGGATCAGGACTGTTAAGATTATTTTGTTTGAAAGAGAGTAGACATTTTCAACCATTTCTTAACTAAACAAAGATTTACTTACCGTTTATACCTTGGTAGTAGTAGCAGTGTTAGTCACTCAGTTGTATCTGACTCTTTGCAACCCCAGGGGAGCCCCACAGCTCAGCAGGAGCTGGAACTACAGCAGTTGATAAATAGCCCTTGCTCTTAAGAAGCTCACATTTAAGAAAGGGACAGATTTGTATGTGAGTGTAGTGTAATACAGCAGAAACATATTTGTGATACCCTATTAGCTGAGAGTTTTGCACAAGTTTGCTGTCTTATAAGAGTCTCTGAAATTGGTGGAAAGGAAAGGGGGAAGGAAGCATTAATTTTTTTGCAGGGCTATGGGAACTCCTTGGCTGGGACAAGTACTTACTAGGTAAAGGAGGACACAACTTTTAGAGAGAAGACTAGTTTGAGAATATTTATAAATTGTTTTGACCGATGTCTATTATATGAGTTCCCTTGAAGTAGACATATCTTATTGTTGGTTAGTCGCTAAGTCATGGCTGACTCTTTTGCAACCCCATGGCTTCAGCCAGGTTCCTCTGTCCGTGGGATTTGCCAGGCAAGAATACTGAAGTGGGTTGCCATTTCTTTCTCCAGGGGATCTTCCCAACCCAGCGATTGA